GATTTAAATAAAAGCTATCATGTGTAGGCATTGATATTACTAAAAATCAGTAAATAGCTCGTGATACAAATGAAACAGGTATAGTTTATAGACAGAAAATATGAAATGTATTTGTATCATCACCTCGGTGTAACAGTGGGAATAACTCCACTCACGAGATCACTGCTTGAGATATCTTGTGAAACGTATGGATGCTTTAGTGAAGTAGATGAAGATGGCGGAGTGATATCCTTTCCGGGATCAGTGACTTTGGATTCGGATATCTTGGTGTCCGACTCAGGTGTCATGAGCCATATGTTCTCAAGTTCTCTAACCACTTCTGCCATTGAAGGCCGGGAATCTGTCTCGTCTTGGCAGCACTTAAGAGCTAGATCTATGAACTTCTCCACGCATTCAGAGGGATAAGATCCCATTTCTTCATCAATGACAGAAAATATCACACTCGAACGATATGCAATGTTGACCTGCACAGATAGACCAAATATTAAGTATAAACTGTATGAGATGCGTTCAATATATTTAAGAGAATTGAGTGGTGAGAGAACCGCCCTGGCACAGGTTGGCCTGTTAAACAGCCATTTAGTTGCAAATTTATTTTTTCGAAAAAAGGGAAAAATTTGTAGGACCGACTCATGCTATGTTATGAACGTCAACATCATAAAACCATTTTTTTTCCCATATTGACGAAAATTAACTCCTGACATCCTAATCGATTGCCATTATCATGATATTAAACTCTTTGCCCCTTGACTCTTTACCTCTTCCAAGTTCCCAAGCCGGATTTTAAAACATTCAAGAGAACAACAATGAGAAAAGAATATAACAATCATAAACTAATATGACTCACAAATTCATGCAAGTGATGTTCTTTATTCTATTAAACTAAGAGTGTGTTTGGTTGGCTTTATTTTTTTATGAAAAATGTCAATTTTCCACCCAAATTCTTGCTTTTGGGGTGCTTTTTCCATGAAAAATATTTTCCAACATTTGGTTATATGATCATATTTTCCTAAAAAACATGGGAAATATTTTATTTAGAGAGTTGTGGTTTTTGTTTTCCAGATAATTCACTATCTTTTTTCCTCTCTCATCTACCCACCAATAAAAAATGGACAAGTATAATATTTTCTAAATTGAAAACTAAATCAATTAAACACATTAAATTAAATTGTCTAGAATTTATTTTCTTGCTATGCAAATTTCATGCCCGCAATCAAGTGCTCCCTAAGAGAAAAATGGATTGCATTATTAAATTACCTCCCGAACAATGTTTTTCCCATGTGAAATTGGGTGCATTCCTGTCAAGAGTTCGAGAAAGACAACACCAAGGCTGTAAACATCACTTTTGTCCGTCAACTTGTGAGTTAAAAAATACTCTGGATCAAGATATCCCTGCAATGATCAAGCATGCACATTTTTTAACGACT